ATATAAATATAAATATACACTTATATACATACATACCTGAAGATAATAACGGTAATCTCTGAGAGGCTGGAATATGGTATTTTTATTATTTTTGCTTACCTGTATCTTCTAACTTTTTATTATGTATATGTTTTATGTTATAAAAATTTTTAAATAACACCCACATTTTTATTAAACCAGAAACTAAAACCTCTGTGTCTTAAGCTGGTGAAATAAGCACATGTGAAATAATGGTTCTGACGATGCTTTGGCTCTTCACTTTTATTTTAGCTATTGAGTGTGTAAAATAAATGAACTTACTTTCAGACATATAGAGTTCTGAATATAAAAATTCACGATAAAAACTGAAATGATCAGACACCGAAGAACAAAGCAAAAGCCCAGATTTATAAGAATATTTTGAAGACACCTAAATTTACAGAGTTTAGAACAGCACTAGTATGCCCTTGCCAGTTAAATATTGTCCTTTGTTAATTTAAAAAACCTTTAGATAAAAAGAAAGCAATGACAGAAATAAAATGTTTGCTTTCTCATTATATATCAGTATTAAATGCGTTCCAGATATCCTTTAATCTTCACAACAACTAGTGTCACTCACCCTATTTCACTGATGAGAAAAATCACGATTTAAAGAATTGGATCTAGAATACATAAAGAAACTGCTCCTTGGTAATCATTTCTCAATATATACATATATCAAATCATTATGCTGTACACCTAAAATTAATACAATATTATATGTCAGTTATATCTCAATTTAAAGGAACTCAAAATAAAAACTAGTATGATTTTTAAAAAGGCATCCCAATTGAAAAATGGCTAGAGACAAACACTTCTCAAAAGATACGCGAAAGACCAACACACACATGACAAGATCAGTATTCTGTATTAAAGAAAATGCAAATTAAAGTCACAGATACCTCTACACACCCACCAGAATGGCTAAATTTGAGAACAACAGTTCTCAAGACTAGAAAAGAACACTCCAGGTGACAAATGTAGGATGAGCTAAGGCAGGGGTATTGAGGCTGGAACAGATGTTCATGTAAGTAAAGTGAGTAGTTCAGACACTGGGCTTGGGTAGAGAGGTGAATGAGAAACACATTTTGGAAAAAGTTAGCAAACAGACCTGCAGGGCCTTTAGGACAAGATAAGGACTTTACAAGTGATTCGCAAAGCAGGACCAGAACAGGGACAGTACGGTTTGAGTTTTAGGGTATATAAAAGGCTGTTTGGTATAGAGTGTTCCAAAAACAAGCTCTCAAAAACTGTCTTTCTCTTACCCTGCAAAAAATGTCTCGATCCTCCACAATCTGGTTTTACCTTCCCTCCACAACCACATTCTTCCACATCTCCTTTTGTATTTTCCAACCTAATCAGACCTTCTTTCTTTTCCCTCACCACCAGGTAAACGCTTTCAAGGTCACACGCAGCACTGAGCTTTCACTCAAGGACCACCCATGACCTGCAAAGTGCCTCTGCTTCCCTGGCCTCTCACAATTGACATCCAGTTTTTGGGACGCCCAGTTGATGTCTGTCTGTCCCATAATTTCTTTGCAGACTCCAGCCTGTCCTCCTGTCCTTCCCCGCAGTCCCTATGTGCATTCTGTAGCACATAACTCAACATCTAACTAGAAGCTCTCTTGCTTTGTTGAGTCGCTGACACTGTAAACTCCTGGATAGAAGGGATCACATCTCTCGCTCTTGTATCCCTCACAGCACCTGGTATCAAGGATACCAACTAGCTAATAGTTCCTCTTGATAAAGGAAATGCAAACACACCCTTTGATCCAACAATTCCATTTCCAGATATTTATCCTACTGAAATACTCCCACAAATATGCAAAATTATGATCAAAGATATGCATTATAGATTGTAACAATAAAAACTAGCAATAACCTAAGCAGCTATTAAGCAAGACTAGTTCACTTGGGTGTATACTGCCTATTAAAAGACAAAACTTGGGATATCTATTCATATGGACCATAACAAAGTAAGTGAAAAGAGTTGCTGGAAAGCGTGTAAAACAGCTCTTATTTATTTACATAAACACACAATTTAGAAAAACACAAAGTTTTAGGATGATTGTCTCTGCTAAGTAGGATGGAGTTTTTACTGTAAAACACTCCTATTTTGTTTGAAAAAAATGAACAAAAAAACAAAACCAAAAACAAAAAATGAACAAAGAGTACAATGTTGATAGTAAAAAAATATGTATATATTTTCATTCAGTGCCCCAGAAGAAATATTTACAAAACAATTTGTATTATGAATTCAATTTTTTTAAAACAAGAATAATAATATGCTGGGACACACACACACACACATATATTAATATTTAGAACATATGCCAACTATTAATAATGGTTATTTCTACAAGAGGGGTTATAGGAAACTTTCACATTCTAGGTTAGAGTTTTTCCTTAAATAATAAACACTTTAGTCACAAAAAAACAAATATCGACTTCTCTTTCTCTGAGCTAGTGATCGTCCCAGAAAAGATAAGCATTGGGGTCCATCTGGCAGTTAGCTAACTGGCTTAATTGTTGGATTGCCCACGATACTAAACCTGAGAAAGCATTACAGGTAAAACAGACCTACCAATTAAATTCACAGGAGTTATGAACAGAAAAACTACTTCTCTGCTAGGTATTAAATGTCTGTTTGATGAAGGGAAGCCCTCTAATGTCAAGTTCACCTTGACTGTTTACTACATTAGGATCAAGAGCGCTGATCCCTCATAATACATTGTTCTATTTTTCTTCTGTCTCTAGAACCAACCATCAACTGGCTGGGGCCCTTGTTTCGAGGCCAACGCTTGAGATGAGACAGGAATCTACATACCAATGCCCTGAGGAGGAAGGAAAGAGGAGAACCACTAAGCCACACAGAACGCTGTGTGGGTGGATCTGTGCTTCCTACAGGATCTCCCAGGTCGTACAGTTCCCCTAATGCCCTCCCTGCTCCAGGGCAGAGCTGACAAGTGTCTGGCTTAAGAAATCAAGGCCTTCCCCCGGACAGGCCTTTGATAAAAACAAAAGGGGCAGAACTGCCTCTGTCTGTCCTCCAATCTATTGCTCCAAACCTTTCCCATCTCAGCATTGACCCTGAGATCCAATGGCCTTTCTCTTTTCCCCATAGTCTTACTGCTGATATAACAGCTTATTGCTATCGATGCTCAGTGCTTTACAAGTATTACAACTCATTCATACTCACAATAGCCCTGCCAAGTATTCTTATCTTACAGATGAAGAAACTGAAACACAGTCAGTGCCGGTATCCGCATCTGCAGATCAACCAACTGCAGTCGAAAATATTCATAAAAAGTTGTTGCTGATGTGTACCGCGTAGTTAGGCCTACAATGGTGGGGTCTGTACCATCCATGTGCAGGCTTTTTTCCCCTTGTCATTACTTCCTAAACAATACAGTATAACAACTATTTGCACTGCATTTCCATTTTATTAGGTATCGTAAGTAGTCCAGAGATGATATAAATATAGGGGAGGACCATTTTACGTAAGGGACCTGAGCACCCTTGGATTTCGCTATCTGCGGGGATCCTGGAACACATACCCCTCAGATACTGAGGGGCGACTGTACAAAGTCCAATAACTAAGTGGCTGAGCTAAAACTGAAACCCCGAGGTTCTGTTTCCTCAACCCCATCTTTACCGAGCAGCACTCACGATGATATACATCTTTCAACTTAGAAAACACGAGAACACCTTCAGTCAGTAAAGGGTTTAGGTTTTAGTAACAAATCCGCAAGTCAACAGCACACCTGGATCCAATGTTTACTCTTCGAAATGCGGTTGGTCTGGCTACCACTGAATAACTGAGAACTAAGAAATTTAATCTGCAAAATGTTTATGTTTGTCAATGCTTTTCTTAGCTTTTGAAAAGCTGTTCAAAGTAATACATACCCAACCTCTAAACGAAGTCAAATACATCTGGGTTCAGATTCTAGTTCTATCATTGTTGCCTTCACCAGTAAGATATAAAGGTGTATGTAAACAATTTAGTGGAGTGAACGACTGGAGAGTGAAGAGTCCGTGTCCCCTACTGCTATTACTATCATCCTTCGATTGTTTTATCATCATTTCTCCCAGGATGTAGAAACACTGACAAGTTCAACTCAAATTCAATACCTTGCACAAAACCCATGAATTCATGTTTACAGAAAACACATTGAATCATCAAAAAAAAATTATGCACTCCGTTTGAATTTATGGAACTGATAAACTAGAAGTGCTACAAAACAGAAACACAATAACTGCTAAACAAAAAAAAACATATTTAATATTACAAAATTACCACACAAGTCAATTACTACACATGAGAATAAATGCTACTGACAATTAGCCTCTTTAAAAACAAAAACAAAAAAAACCTCATCCCTTCCATGTCTTTCCATGTGAACTACAATCACCTGAAACCTGAAAGTAACAAAAATCCTTAAGGGAGCGTTGCAGCTTGAAAACATTTCCCACAGCCACTTACTAATCTTTAATTGGAGAAATCTTGGGCACAATGGGCAGGCAATAATGACTGATCCTTCCACCTTTGCTGTCGAATGTGTGAGAGGTTCAGTTCACAGCTGTTAGAGATCGAACAGCTAATATCGCAAGTAGCCCTTAACGCTTCTCCACGTGGGACGCATCCAATGTAATCAAATCCCTTAACTCTTCTCCACGTGGGATACATTCATTTAACTCGTCTCCACGTGGGATGCATACAATGTATCAAGTCATTTAGTCCTCACAACTCTGCAGGGCAGGGACTACTATTTCTCTTCGTGAGTTTTTTTTGTGTGTGTTTTTCCCCCCAGATACGGCAACTGAGGTGTCACTGAGTAAAACGCCTCACGGGCGCAGAGCTAGAAAAGCAGAGACGGACTGCAAACTAATCTGGGTCTAGAGTCCAAATAGTTCTAACGCCTTGAGGACTCTGGGCAGGGGCCCGCCCGTGACACCGGAAAACGTGGAAAGGAATACAGTACCAGTGGGAAGCAGGGGTTCCAACGGGGTAAACGCATGCTCCATATCGGGTTATTGGCCTCTGCACTAAAAAATAAATAAATAAATAAAAACGCCACATTAGAATGTCTCCTAGCTAGTGAAAACGGCACGCGAAATAACAAGAACATTTGGCCTCTTTAATGCTGTGCTCCCGGGCGGACCAAGGAGCGCTCGGCGGCGCTCGGCGTCCCGGCCCCGGCACGCGG